AAAAAAAAAACATTACTTAGATAAATGCAGAAGTCAGGAAAAGGGGAGTGTTAGCCAGGCATAGCGGCACTCGGCACTCAGGAGGCAGAGCAGAGGCAGAGGATCTTTTGTGAGTCCTAAGTCAGCCTTGTGCACATAGCCAGTTCCAGGACAGCCTGGGATCCATAGTGAGTAGTACCCTGTTCCCAGTCTCCATAGAAAAGAAAAGAATTGTGGAGGAATAGGAAGGCTAACGATTCTATTGATGTAACGACGCACCAGCAATCGTCCCGAAGTATTATTAAAAGGAATATTGCTGTTAAACACTTTAAAAGTTCCATGCTTGGTGATTATACTTGGAGAGCGGTACTATGGATTATTCGCTGGTTGTTTTCCACCGGCATGGACACACAGTGCTTCCCTGTATTTCGGCCATTCACGCCCGCAAACCGTGGCAGGGAACAGAAATGACCACCAGGTCGCGCTGTAGTTCCACAGCGGAATCAGTCTGGGCTCCCAGGATCCGCGGAGGTCAGTGGAAGGAACTATCACAAAGGAAAAAAAGAAAACACTTTACGGAAAATAATCTCAAATTTACCATGATTTACAGATTGGTTATTCAGGAAAAAATAACATCCAAGAGGGTGGCTGCAGCACTTTCTAGAGAAAAGGGCCTTAAACTCATTCTGTTCTGCTGGTTGGAAGGACTTCCCTGGTAGAAAAAGAAAAGATTAGAAAACCCTGTTGAAAGTTCGTTTCCTAGATTATCTAGTTGCTGATGGATAAAACTAGTTTTAAAAATCTCAAGATAGTGCATATTTATTTAAAAAACATAAATATTTCAACTTTTTTTTCAAAACTTTTTTTTTCTTTTCTTTTTTCCCCAAATGTCAATATTTGTGAACTAGGGGTTGTACGAAATGTTACCTGGAGTTGCAAAAGCCAGTTTGTCTTCTCCCCCTGGGGAGCTGAGTCTGGGTGCCAGAGGGCAAGGCGTGGCTGGAAGGACCTAACCCTCCCTTCTCGGCACCCTGTGGTGAATGCGCTCTTGGAAGAGGAAGACAATGATGTTCTCTGCTTCCTCTGCGGACTCCGCGAGATGAGCGCTGAATGCGTTGTGTATCCTTGTGCTGGGAAAACAACTGTGGCCTGGGAATCGGCTGTTGGTAGTTATTTTAGTTAGGGTTTCTATTGCCGTGAAGAGCCACCATGACCACGACAACTTTTAAAGGAAAACATTCCATTGTGGCCGTGGCATCCAGTTTCAGAGATTAGTCCGTCATCATCATACTGGGACACAGCAGAGTGTAGGCAGACATGGTGTTGCTGAAGCGGAGAGTCCTACATCTTGATCAGCAAGAGGAAGTGAACTGAGACACGGGACATGGCTTAAGCATACATGAGACCTTAAGCCCGCCCCCACAGTGACACACTTCCTCCAACAAGGCCGCACCTACTCCAATAAAGGCACATCAAATAGTGCCACTCCCTACATTCAGACTAGCACAATAATCTACCTAGTAGTTTTGTCTCCTACTCCCAAGGGGCCCTTCCCTGACTCAGGACTGTGCAGGGCTAGGGCTCTGGAGAAGGGAGTGTATGCATTCTTTTCAGTTCTGACAAATTAATTGAGCAGTAGTCTTCCTTTGTTACACATTTTGGTTCAGCATGACGAGGCTTGTTCACATTAATATCATATGTTTTCTACTGTGACGTGTGCTATGCAGTTCCAGAAAATATAGAGATACCTTTATCTTCAGGGTAAGAAAGAATAACATATACTGACCTTAAATATTTCAGTTTTAAACTAAAGCATGAATGCCTGTAATTTAACATAGTATTGCCCTTTTGTTAGTTGATCTCATCTGTCTATGCCTAGAATGAATAGTCATGATTAAGTTTCTTTAGAATGGATGGCGAATAAAGGTGCTTGTGAAGAAACAAGTGAGAATTCTCCTTGTTCTGCTCTGTTGAATGTGTGGGTCTGTAAATTACTGATTTGTGACAGCCGTGTATAGAATTTGATAGTAGTGGACATCCATATCTCCAGTCAAGGAGCTCATGGGCGAACAAAGTATAGACCAGTTTTGGATGCTACTGAATTCCGATATCCCGTGAGACACATACTGGGTATGGGCAGCGCAGTCAGCCTATGAGTAACTATTTTAAACAGTGTCGGAGTTTTTTACCACAGTTTGAGAAGCAACATTCAGATGACTTGGTAGTATTTCCCCCTTTCTAAAATTTTTTATATGCTCATATTCAGTACACACTAATGCCTTTGACACCCCCACTCCCACCCCCAGAATCTCTGCGATGCATAGGTGGAAATTCAGAAGTCAGGAGAGTGCCGTCCCCACAGAAGGAGAAATTTACCAAGGAGTAGACTGCTCTGGGGTGTGGGGTAGTGATGAAGGGTTCTCAGACTTGGTCAGTGCGTAAACAGAGGCACTGTAACTAATCACATAGAGTTGAAGTATTCTGTTTTTCCCCCTGTAGAATGGGCTTTCGAGATGAGGCAGCTGGGTATTTTCATAAAGCGGTGAAGCTCAACCCTGATTTCAGTGATGCAAAGGAGAACTTCTATCGTGTTGCAAACTGGCTGGTGGAGCGCTGGCACTTCATCATGCTCAATGACACCAAGAGGAACAGGATTTACAATGCAGCCATCCAGAAGGCAGTGAGCTTGGGGTCCAAGAGTGTTTTAGATATTGGCGCAGGAACTGGAATACTGAGGTTTGTTAAAATTATTGTTTTATTATTATGTTTATGTGAATAAACAGTTTTGTTAGCTACCAGAATTGTAACATTGGTATATAAGAATAGCAGTTGTTTCTCAAAATATTGTTAGAGTATTCATGCAGCTGTTCTTTTCTTTCTTTATTTTTGAGGCAGGGTTTCTCTGTGTAACAGTTCTGGCTGTTCTGGAACTCACTTTGTAGACCAGGCTGGACTTAAACTCACAGAGATCCGCCTCTGCTTCCTGAGTGCTGGGATTAAAGACATATGCCACCAATGCCCGGCTTGATGCAACTATTAGCATTGTAATTTTTACTCTCAAAAATTCAAGAAAACTAAGGAAAACTTGGGGTTATTGAAATTCTGAATAATGAATTTTAGAGTATTTTTATGTTAAGATTCTGGTGGATTCTAGAAAGCCCATTAAGCAAACTTCTTGTCAGTCATGTCTTAATTGTGTGGATGCTGAGCTGGGTGTGGTGGTGCATGCCTTTAATCCCAGCATTTGGGAGGCAGAGGCAGGAGGAGCTCTGTGACTTTGAGGCCAGCCTGGTCTACAGAGTGAGTTG